AGTTTAGGACAGATAATGAATATAAAATGGCATGTTATTACAGAGGAGCCCATGACAGTGTGGGGACCTTGTGTATCCACCACCCTTTCTGAGGAAAGCCCACCAGCATGGTGGCTGAGTCTATGATGAAGCATGGGAGGTGGCCCAGCAGAGATGACAGGACCCTCATCCATCTGGATTTCTGTCTTGACTGTTGTGGTTGTGAGACATGGAGAGAGCATGGTGACAGGTTAGAAGGTTCCTGGCGCCCAGATCCCAAATCTCAACYACTGTAAGCATTTTCTCTAAATTCGTCATAATGATGTTTGTTGAGCTTACAATAAAGAATCATTTTGTTCTCAATATTAATTGTTGATTTTAAACATTAGTTTGYCTCTAATCTCCTTGAGTATTTTGTTTAAAACAAACTCCAACATTTTACTGAAAGTGCCAGTAGAACATTCTTCTAATTTAATAGGATCAAGTTAATGACATAACTTATTCAATGACTTGATGGTTAGTACTCCAGAAACTTGGTCATATCAAACATTTTTTACCAAATCAGAAACTTTGCTTCAATTGAAATTTGGTCTGAAAATACTGTTTAATCTTTATAACTCTGTATTGCRGGCTCTTAGAAAACCAAAAATGCATCATATAAATGATATCCTTCAACAATTAACTTAGGAAGTTTTAGAAAATGAAGCCCATATTTACAAGTCACAGAACTGATAAAGAACTTATATATATATATATATATATATATATATATATATATATAAATTCTTAAAACTCAGAAGAAACCAAGTAACCCCAAAGCCTGAGAAAATATATTAAAAAATGTTTCACCCAAAGAGAGAGACAGATAGCAAGTAGGACAGGAAATAAATGATCATTATGAAGCATCAGAGCAATGAAAATAAACCACAAGTTGATACAACAACATATATATTGGACTGGCTATAGGTAAAAATCCTTGTCATGGAACTTTGGCATGATTGTGAAGCAATTGGAAGGTTTATAACCTGCTGCTGAAATTAAAAAATCATTCAACTAGTTTGGAAAACCATTTTATACTTGATTAGGAAGGCAAAACYTATACCCACCATATGAGTCTGCAARTCCATTCCCAAGAGAAAAGGAAGCACGTATCTATGCACAGACTTGCATATGAATATTCTAGGAGCTTTATTTGGAAGAGTCTGAAATTGGAAACAATTCAATGTCCATCAGGAGTGAATGACTGAAGAAATCATAGCATATCCACATGACAGAACACTAATCAGTGACTGAAAGCTATGAATGGTGATACACAAGCATAGGGATGATTATACTGAGGATAAGAAGACTTACCAAAAAGGAGTGAATTCTCTAATATCCCATCTTGAACAAATTCCTGNACTTGATTAGGAAGGCAAAACCTATACCCACCATATGAGTCTGCAAATCCATTCCCAAGAGAAAAGGAAGCACGTATCTATGCACAGACTTGCATATGAATATTCTAGGAGCTTTATTTGGAAGAGTCTGAAATTGGAAACAATTCAATGTYCATCAGGAGTGAATGACTGAAGAAATCATAGCATATCCACATGACAGAACACTAATCAGTGACTGAAAGCTATCAATCGTGATACACAAGCATAGGGATGATTATACTGAGTATAAGAAGACGGACCAAAAAGGAGTGAATTCTCTAATATCCCATCTTGAACAAATTCCTGGTATATAAAAAGGAAAACTAATTTATAATGACAGAATGAATACTAGTATTTATGAGGAAACAGAGCCTCTGGTATTTAGAAATGAGATGGTCAGTGTTTACAAAGGGACACAGGAAGATTTTTAAGGTGACATGGCCATATTTAGTAACTTTTTGGTGGTGATGGTAAGGTGAAGGTAAGGGCATTCAGAAATGCCTTTATTAAGGTATATACACAGTGTGTTCCCTAATAAAGACATATATACAGAGCAAGGTCTTCAGAGAAGTTGGATACAACAGTTAATGTTCATTCACCCTATATGGACAGCAGCTTTTCCAAGAGATGGTGCAACCTGAAATCACAGTGAGTCCAAAGAAGGCCAGCCTCAGCAACTAAGCAAGGTCTGAAGCATTGTAGTGAGAACTGTCTCAAAATAAAAATAAAAAGTTCTGTGGATGTGGATTAGTGCTAAAGCGCCTCTGGATTCAATCCCAGGAATATCATCAAGAACAAAAATTTAACAGGAGTTTTATTTGGAAAAATAATTCTAAAAAGCGGTCTGGGGGCAGAGCAGAGGAATTAATAATGAAAAAAAAATGGTTGGAAAACAGTTTTCTTAACACATGTAGTGAATGTGTAAAGGAAAGTAAAAAGAGAAGTAGAAAATACTGGGGTGACGTTCAGAAAATTGAAAGCATATTTGTTCCTATTAAGGCATAGGAATAAAAAAAAGGCATAGGAACAAGTGAAAGGATTCAGAGAACCTACAGGTAACAGTGCAAGACCACCCATCTCAGGCAGCCCAGCAGCATCTGCAAGATCCCCAATGGCCTTGCCCTTGGCTTTTCTGCTGGCCCTGGTGGTGCTCAGCTGCAATAACACCTACACTCTGGGCTGTGACCTTCCTCAGATCCAAAACCTGGGTCTTGAAACTCCTGAGAAAAATGAGGAGGGGTCCCTGACACTCCTGCAAAAAATGAGGAGAATTCCTACTTTCTCTTGCCTGAACTACAGAAAAGAATTTACTTTCTCCCAGGAACAGCTGGAGGGTGAGCAGGTACAGAAGGCTCAAGCTGTTGCTGTCCTCCATGAGATGACCCAGCAGGTCTTCAACCTCTTCAGCACCCAGGAGGCCTTTGCTGCTTGGGACAAGACCCTCCTGGACACCTTCCTCAGTG